AACAAGCTTTGGAAGAAACACAACTTTTACAGCTGCAAATGGAGAAAGCAAATTTGGTCCTACGGTTTCAAGGGGTCCCAGAATCAAAAGGTGAGAATCTGAAGCAACTCCTGAGTGAAGCATTAGCCCCAGTTACAGATTTGAAAGCGGAGTATCTTGTAAGCGAAACGGATGTGGTCTACAGGTCCTATCCGTGTACATCAAAAAGAATAATCTGCTTGGGGAAATAGTGGCGAGATTCTCAACGCGACATGTAAGGGATTCTATCCTGAAAGCAACAACAGGAACACCCTTGAAAATCGGGGACAACACCATCAGGATTCTAAAAGATGTTCCATTCGAAATAAGACAAAAGAGAAAGAAATATAAAGATCTAATCCTTTTTCTCCAAACAAACAGCATTGTTTACAGATGGTTAATTCCAGAAGATGTCATTTTCAAAATACAAGATAAAAAAGAAAAGATTGACTCTGTTTTCAAAGCATGTGAGTTCCTGAGAGTCCTGCTGGGAGAGCCAGCCGGGGTCGAGAAGGAAGAAGATGACAGCAAATCCAGTGGCGAATTGGATTCAGTGTCTTCCAACGAGGACTCTCTCTCTGACAAGGGGACGGCTGCCCCCAGGCGTACATATTAGAAAAGATAAGACAAATGAAGGCTGAAGGACTCTGAACTGTGCCTTTAAACTTTAGTTTTATTGGGGGATGCTCTGGCGACTCTCTCAAATGGTTAAAACATTGGATAAAAAGACAAAAAATATAGCATAGCCGACAATGTTCAAAGTAAAACTAGCATTTTAAGATTAACATTTATATAAGCTGTTGTAATGATCTCCTATACTTGGGGTTTTAGTTAGTTGTTGTTATCTTTCCTTTCTCCCTAGATGTAGTTACCCCTTCCTATTTTTTCGTTGTAGTTTTGTAGTCTATTAAAAATGCAATAAAAAATCCGCTCCGGGGGGCCAAAAAAAAAAGGTGTAGGAGAGGAGGTGGGATGCTTACAGCCGCCGGGGAGGTTTGCTCAGCAAGACTGCCTTAGCCCTGCTGCTGGCCCAGTCTCCCTGATGCTTTTAAACATAATCCCCCCAACACCAGATAGGCGGGGGTCTGTCAGATGTAGGAGCAGGACCAGGGTACTGTAATCCATCAGGGACGTCACCCCAGCAGGATCACCTTTGCAATGCTGCTGGCCCAGCTTCCAACACACTCCCCCCACCTCCTACACCTGTCAGGTGCAGCAGCGGTTGCAGGGTGCTTAAAGCCATGAGGGAGCCTGCCCCAGCAGTCTACAGATACGTCCTTCAGTAGAGAAAAAAGTATGTATGTCTCATTTCATTTTTTACACTACAATCTTCTCCATTAGAATTCCTACAACAAATGTTACATTTCAAACTTTACATCATCTGTATGTGGATTTACGGAAGTTAAATACCGTAGCAAAGCATGGGTATCAGGCTAGTGGAGTATATTTCTCTCCATGCCTCTTCATGCCACAGTGCTCTTTCCAAAGAATGGTGCTGTATTGGCTACATTCCCTACTTTAGTGTGGGCAGAAGCAGTCTGACATCAGAGGGCATGGCCATGGCAGCATGCACCAGTAGCCTATTTCAGTTTGCCCATCTCATGAGCACTGCTGGCACACTGTTCCATGCTCAGTGGCTTGTGGTGAAGTTCCTATGGAGTCTGGTGCAATGGCAATGCTCTCTGCACTTTGTTGGGGGTGTTTCCATCACATATCCCATGCTATGCATATACCCTCCACCTTCCACAGTGTATCATTAAGTACTTTTCAAGTGATTAAATATTTGCTGTATTCTTGCACAAGCATTTTAATTATTATAAACCGCTGGAATATGGGCACAAAGTACTGATAAACCATGCTGGCATAAGCAACTCATTGGGATCTTAAGATCAGCCTACTAAACAGCTAGAGTTATGTTCAAAATAATTAAGAAAAAAGACAATATATTTGCGAAATGCAGAATTCATTTTGCACACTCAACTAAACACCCCACTGGTACAGGACAACTGGGAGAGATCTATATCAAGAGCAACAGTCTTTAATTAGCCTTGATTTAAAGTGCCCTAACTAATAAAGTCACTCAACCCCTACCACACTGTGTGACACTGTGCATAGGCCTCTCCTTCTATCATAACATATCATTAAGTACTTTTCAACTGATTAAATATTTTCTGTATTCTTATACAAGCACTTTCATTATTATAAACAGCTGGAAGAATAAAACAGGTCACAGTAAGTCCCCATTACAATCATTAGATGACAGAAATGCATTAACCAAAGCACTGTGATGGGCTACTTAATGAATTTCAGTTTGAGAATTAAGAGATAAAGAATATTAAAAACTAGAAGACAGTATGATACATGAACTGTGTTCCCCAACTACTGAACTTTATTCAGTATTACGAGAATTATGTTATAAAATCTGTTTTAACATTTGGAACAGAACCAACTAATGACTTGTGTTAATTGTAGAAATCTAAGGCATACTTTTAAATTTCATAAATATGCCAAATACCCTGATTCCCCGAAAATAAGACCTACCCCAAAAATAAGACCTAGCAGGATTTCTATGCATTTGTGGTATAATCCCTGGTGTGTCTTCTTGAGAAAAAATAAATATAAGACAGTGTCTTATTTTCGGGGAAACACGGTACTACAGTTATACAAGCTAAGTTATAAATGATGCATTTTTATTGTTAAAGCAATGAAATAAATTTAAGGTTAATAAGAAATTATTGCCTGTATTTTAATTTCCCCTCCAAATTTCTGTTTTTCACCCCCAAAAGTATTTTCATATGGCTTCCAAATGTCCAGTAACTTTACATCTTTACATTTTAACTGTCTATAGTGGGATTGCAAATATAAATCCTGGGGCTTAATGTCGAAGGAGGAGGAGGAGATTGGATTTATATCCCACCCTTCACTCGGAGTCTCAGAGCAGCTTACAAACTCCTTTCCCTTCCCCTCCTGGCAACAGACACCCTGTGAGGTAGGTGCAGCTGAGAGAGCTCTTTCAAGAACTGCCCTTTCAAGGACAACTCTGACAGAACTATGGCTTGCCCAAGGTCATCCAGCAGCTGCCCTTGGAGGAGTGGGGAATCAAACCCGGCTCTCCCAGATTAGAGTCCACGCACTTAACCACGACACCAAACTGATTCCCCAGTGCAGCATACAGAATTCCTTCCATATTCTGGAAAAATTAATCAACTAGGGAGTGACGTTCTTGATAAGGCAAAGGGCTACAACATCCCCCAAATTTTGGTTTGGCTTGCTAGCCAGTGACAGATCCTGGTTGCCATTCATTCCTACCTACCGCCAAGTGAGTATCTGAAAACTCAGGAGAGGGAAGAAAGGCTCTTGTATTAATGGCCTTTGGAGCCGGCAGAATCCATGCAAGTTTGCTTTCACTGCTCTTGCTTGCTCTGAAACTTCGTTTGACATGAAAACTCCCTTCTCCAGACACGGAAGAGCATGGGGCTCTTACCAGAGGACCAAGGCTGCTTTTCCTTTCAAGCTATCAATCTGATTCTGTGGAAACCTGGCCGAAAGTCATCAACAATGAAGGTACTCAAAAGGGACACAGACAATCAGAATGAACAGCTAACTGAAGACCTTACACTCTGATACCAAGTACTAATAAAATGCACAGAAAGCAGTAACTTAACAGCAGGTTCAATTAACCCTGAAAAGACCTTTTTGTACCTGCGCACATGATCATTGCTACTCAACTCTATTCTTAATAGAGGTAACTGAAGACAAGAGGGAGGGAAAATAGAATAAAATGTGAATTACCAGATTCAGGTCTGGTTTTTCTTTCCTTTTTGAAATAGGTAACACTTGCACAGGCCAAAGAGCTATAAAAGTTACGAACTTACTAAGAGACTGCTTCAACATAAGCAACATGGTAACAGTGGGGGGGGAAGGAACAGATCTGATATAATAATAATGAAAAATTTCAGAACACAATAGTATGTATAACAATGGACAGAACCAAATTTAAAAATCACCGTTACCATTTTATTCTTCACACTCTAATGAATGCAGTAACATGACATTACTATAATCCAGGGGTCGTTTCGTAGAAAAAGAGCTAGGGGAACTCATTAGCATATGCCACACCCCCTGACATCACCGGAAGTGTGTCATAAGGCCACACCCCCCCGCCCCCAACGGTCCTAGCCGCTGCCGCCGGCCTTGCAGCTCCACTGTCGAGCCCCATGAGGGGCCCGGCGGTGGACTTGCAAGGCCGGTGGGAGTGCAAGGAAGCCCCACGAAGGCCCTCCCTGGCCCCAGGCAGGCAGGGGTGGGGAGAGGCAGGGAGGAAGCAACTTACCCTCCCTCTTCTCCTGCCTCCTCATGGCTGAATGAGGGCCGGAAGCGGGGCGGCCAGAAGCAGGGGGCGGGGCTTCATCATGTGCCCCGCCCCCGTACTTCACCCGGGGGAACTGCGATCCCCCCCGAAATGACCTCTGCTATAATCTATATTTGAATGTCAAGCTCCGGTTTTCTATCTTCAGTGAAAAGTGCTGTTTTTGCTTTAACACAGCCTATTTGTGAACACTGGTTATATGCTGAATGAACAAGCACTACCAAGATGTGCAAACTTTGCTTAGAAGTACTTGTATTGTAATGTTCCTGATAAATCATGGAAGAGAGGGGACATACTTCCAGAAAAAAATTAGAATGCTCCAACTTCTGGAACATTGTTTCCCAGATTGCTTCAGGGGTAGAAAGTGAAAAAAAATCCCGCATCGGATATCAACAATTATCTGAAAGTGTTCAGAATGCAGCTTTTCTCACACCCTTATTCTCCAGTCTCCTAGTGTTCAGAATGCAGCTTTTCTCACACCCCTATTCTCCAATCAACCATCTGAAACCAAATAAGACCCAGACCAAGTGGGCTACCTGAGAAGCAAAATTTAATCTCAAACATCAAAAGAACAGCAAATAACCAATTCACTTAGAAAATATATTCGGCTTACCGGGTTGTCAGTTGAATCATCAGCCAATTGTAAACCAAAATAGTCTCTCTCGGTCAGGTCAAGATGCTTGAAAACTACGTCCAACAGAACTTGCCCCTGATCGTGTTTCTGCAGGGAAAAAGTGCCTATGAATGAAAATCTGTCAAAATGAAACCAACATTTCAAAGCACTACTGAAGAAGAATGCCTTGCCACCTCCCTCCCTCTCCCAAGCCAATAAAGTAAGACGTGGTAAAGCAAATGAGTACCAACATTACTTCCTGAGAAACCTTAACCCTTTTCAACCACACATATTTTATTCTGCAAAATAGCTGTTCCTCCTTCAACTCGTCCCAAAGTTTAATTATTGCCAGTGATTTCCTCCTCTTTGAGCTCAAAAGAAAGCTTATCCATACCATGTAAACAGACCCATTCCAATTCCTGTACCAAATAAGTCTATTTGAATCTGTGTTCAGGAGGAGTGGACAAGATTTATTTTGAAAACTGCAATTAGACCAAAGGAACATATGTATTTACCAGGTATAATAGGAATATTTATCTGAACAAGTGTGGATTTTTCAGATCTTTGTTTCTGAAAGCTGAAAGTTTATTTTGTTTTCCCCAAGCAGAGGCTTCAACAGAATCTGTCTTGCCCTTTGGGGGAAGTTGTAAACTAATATGATAAGGAGCTAAGATCCACAGAGATACAATATAACCAAAGTGTGAGCTATTTTTCCTCCCAGAACCAAGAGTAAAAATAACTAACAAACTTTAGTAACCACAGCATTGAATGGAACCATATTTATTACATCCCTTAATGACTCTGAGGCTAAAGGGCCACATGTACATAAGTGAACTTTCAAGAATTCACAGCCAAGAAAAAGAGAACACTTCCTGCAATCTCTGATAGGAACAGATGACTTTTTCCAAAAGATTTTAACCCATTTCTTCGGCAATCAATTTTTATCCCCCCCCCCCCAAAATTAAACCTGCCTTGTTCAAATGAATGCATCCTAGTATATCCCACAAATTTAAAGAGTTTCTCCACTTCCACTATATTACAATGCCACCTTGTAGCCACAAGAATGCTCGGTAAGTCTGCCCCTGCCAATAAAAATGTCTCTTCCTCCCACGCTTCATAGGTTTGCTTCTTAACCACTCCCTTTGTCTCCTTCATACATTCCAGACACTGTGCCTCCTTTCACACCACCTTCTATGCTCTGGCTTCCTAGCCAAGCGATTTATGCAGAACTTCCTTTCTCTGCACAACGCTGAAGACCAACCAAGCGGTGCACCATTTTATGTGTAAGGGTGACTACACAATAAGTTTTCCCTTCTCATCCTTCCCCTGCATTCTACAGCTCTGACATACATACCCTCCTAGAACCTGTTTTCCACAACTCTCTCCGGTAAGGTATAATTATCTCCATTGATACAGCCTGTTGATTACAAAAAGTGAAGAGGTGGCAAAGCCGACCAATGTTCTGAGTCACAATTTTAAAGAGGTGCAGGATACACACATCCACCACACAGAAATATGAACAGTGTACTTACTGTATCATAGCTAGTTAGTCAAATTAATCAAAACACTGTACAACACAATATTAGAATTAGATTTACTGAACTTCTCACTCAGAAGAGAATTGGGAGGAAGGGACCTGTCAACTGATCAAGCTGTTGTGAGAGGGGAAAATGCAACAGAACTTCTGCAGTCAGGTACAAAACTGGATAACAGTTTCCCCAACCATATTCCACCACATGGCTTCCCTACTGAAAACAATGGGATTCTGTTCTCAGTAAACATGCATAAGATGGTATCCTATTCACACTTACTCGTAACTGTTAGAACACGAGTCCAGTGGCACCTTTAAGACCAACAAAGTTTAATTCTGTGTATAAGCTTTTGTATACATGCACACTTCTTTAGATACACTGAAACACGATTCCTCAAGCTTTACATATAGGTATAGAGTGAGCGAGGGGGGGTTAAGTTGCCAGGAAGGGCTAATTAAGAGTCAAAATGCATAAGTACAGCTAAGATTGGAATAAAACAGTTGGTAAGATCTGTGAATAGCAGCAAATTGACAAACAGATAATAAAAGAGCTGACAACAGATGTGAGAACTAAGTTTGAATCCAATGACACCTTTAAAACCAACAAAGTTAAATCTGGATAGAAACGAGAACTAAAGCATGTGTAGTGAGATAACAACCCAATATCACTGTTAAGCCCTGGAGGTTCCATTGTCCTGAGTGTTGTAATAACTTGTAATTCAGAAATCTCTTGTTTGTTTGTTCCTGAAATTTCTTCGCAATAAAACAGCTACTTTGAGGTCCCCCAATGAGTGCCCTGGGAGGCAACATTAATGGGAAATGCCATAATCTAAATCACACCTCTTCTTTGTGCTTTTCTAGGAAGCAGAGACATGCAGGAAGCAGAGACAACATCAAAAGCACATGCATCTTCCGACAGTGGAGATGCTCAAAGTCCACTTTATTTAGACATTTATACCATGCTCTCCTCAGAGACATGCAGGAAGCAGAGACAACATCAAAAGCACATGCATCTTCCGACAGTGGAGATGCTCAAAGTCCACTTTATTTAGACTTTTATACCATGCTCTCCTCACCACTGGGGACCCAAAGTGGCTTACAACATTGCTCTTTCTTCCCGCCGGGCCCTCTGAGAAGTTCAGAGAGGCCTGGACCACTCCCAGCTTTATATATATATATATGTGTGTGTGTGTGTGTGTGTATATATATATAGTTTTATTAGTCTATATAAAGAAAGGGGGAAAGGGAAATGAAGGGGAAAGGAAGAATACAGAGTTATATATATTTTAAAAAGCCAATTTAATGTTCTTCATGCAAATCTTAAGAACATAAGAGAAGCCAATGCTGGATCAGGCCAATGACCCATCTAGTCCAACATTCTGTCACACAGTGGCCAAAAATACCAGGTGCCATCAGGAGGTCCAGCAGTGCGGCCAGGACACCAGAAGCCCTCCCACTGTTGACCCCCCAAGCATCAATAATACAGTGCATCACTTACCCCAGACTGAGAGTTCCTGTCTATACACCTTGTGGCTAAGAGCCACTGAT